AAAGTTCACTGTTGCACATTGCATGCAGACAGATGACCCCAAGGCTGGCTCTTAGTTTTGGCTGACAGTTTAGGGTGCCCCTATGGAGGGTCTCTTCTCAGCTTTCTCCCTGTTCATCAGGACATAGAGAACCGCTGCAGTGAGATGGTCTCCACTATTATGATTACAGAACATTTTACATTCTTCCAATTTGATTTAGGAAGTGATTTCAGGAGAATCTTTTCAAAATAAAAGCTATTAAGAACTGCTTCTGAAATTGCAATTTGAGATTTTGTACAAAACTTGATTTGAGCTCCAGAACTCCTAATAATGGTTCAACAAATCAGATGGACCTTCATATGGTTCTAGGCCAAAAGAGGAGGAAAGTGCCACGGTTTTCTGTACACACATCTAAGGCTTTCGTGTCTCCTTCCCCGCGTCCCTCCCAGTCACCTCCCTTCCTTCCCCTTCACTCAACTGTTTACAGAGAGCGTAAGAAATCTGGGAGTCTCTTAGGCACTAAGGTGACAGCAGACCACACAAGTCCTAGCCTGCCCTGGAAGACCTTTTAGTCAAGCGAGGAAGGGAGGAGTACACGTAATTTCCCAAGGAAGTGGTCAGAGAAACACACCAGGAGCCCTGTCCTGCGCGAGCATCCCACCGAGTGCAAAAACCCAGGCAGCAGCTCACCGCCAGTGCGCACCCGGAAGCAACGTCGCCAGGCCCGTATGGCTCACTCTCAGCCGGCACTCTGCTCCTCTTCGCTCTTATTTTACATCTATTTCTAACACACTTGGGTGTCTCGTTTCCCAACCACGACTGCATATGAGGAAGCAGCAGATTTTGAAACTGCATGGCACAGAGAGAGGAGAAAACAAGGCTAGAAAGTCATGCTGATGACAGTGAGGTTGGGAGGAGACTCATGCCAGCTGAGCAGGCACTACCTGTGAGATATTTTACACAATTCCAGATTCCTCACAGCAGCTGTGCAAACTGAGCATTATCATCCCCATTTTTCGTGATGGGAGACTGAGGCCCAGGGAAGTGACTATGATTCACAACTGTGTTTAAGAAAAAAGAAACCCCAAGGAAGGACGAGTCATCACAGGTAGATAAGAGAACCACCATGACCTTGAGCATTCTGGAAGATTCAGGAAGGTTCAAGAAAATGAAGGCTTCCCTGCACTAGGCTTGACAATTGATATTGATCCAGTTTTCAGCCCAAGAACTCCCTATCTCTTGCACTCACCTCCTTTTCTTCCCCAGACACTCAGGTGCCCAGCACATGGCATGGGCTGCTCTGGTGCTGGAGACTCAGGGTTGGTAAGATGCAGCCTCCATCTTCGAGGATGGAGACTCACTAATAGCCCTATCCAGGGGAGGGGAGCACAGTGGAGGGGCAGGAACTGCTGTGGCCACCCCAGCAATGGGGACAGGGGGATGGCCCTGAAGCCAGCAGCCTCCTTCACACTGGCAACAGACTGACACTCACACCAAAGCCTGGTTTTCATGCCAAGGACAAACTGCTCCAAAGAAAGGCAGCTGCCTAAAATAAGTCATTTTAAGCGACAGGTCTAATTTTAGAGAAGCTTATTATGTGAGGCAGGACAAAAAAAAAAATCCAACACCAAAAAGGAATTTAGAAATAAATAAATAAATGTTGTTCAATCCAACTTTTGAGCGATTTTTTTTTTTTTTAGATGGAGTCTTGCTCTGTCACCCAGGCTGGCGTGTAGCGGCTCAATCTCAGCTCACTGCAGCCTCTGCCTCCCAAGTTCTAGTGAGTCTTCTGCCTCAGCTTCCTGAGTAGCTGGGGTTACAGGTGCATACCACAATGCCTGGCTAATTTTTATATTTTCAGTAAAGATGGGGTTTCACCATGTTGGCCAGGCTGCTCTCAAACTCCTAACCTCAAATAATCCACCTGCCTCGGCCTCCCAAAATGCTGGGATTACAGGTATGAGTCACTGCACCCAGCCAACTTTTGAGTGCCTTCTAAAGTACGTGAAAACCGTTCATCAACTCTTTAGCATAAATATACTGAGCCGTCTGTGATGCTTGCTTGATATAAAGGTTCTCAGCTGGGGGAAATTTTGCTCCCATGGGAGCAAAGACTCCATACCAAAGGGGGCAGTTTTGCTCCCATGCTGACTACCAAACGTCCAGGGCCATTTTTGGTGGTCACAGCTGGTGGGGCAGATGGTGCTACTGGTACCTAATGGAAAGAGGCCAGGGAGGCTGCTGAATAGCCTAGGACACAGCACAGCCCCTATGACAATGAACTTTCCAGCTCAAAATGTAGATAGTTATGAGCCTGAGAAATGCAAGTTTGGTACAAAGTGCCTGGGCGGGCAGTCCCGGGAGTGCAGCTGGCACCAGCAGGTGTGACTTTGTCTGTGCAGGTACTGCGCCTGCGCCTTGGGCAAGGCCTGACCCTCTGAGAGCCACAAGTGCTTCATCTAGAAAATGGGCATGATACCACCTACCCTGTGGGCCTGTTTGGAGCTGGAATAAGATGACAAACACAGAGATGCCTGGCAGTAATTTACCGATGTCTTAAGTGACAGATCATGTCCCCAGATAATGTCTGGGAAACTGAAGACAACAATGCAAGTCTTCCAAGGCAGCTAAAGTTTTGGGTCCATGTGAGTTCTCTTTGTCCATGAATTTGGATGACAAGGCAGCAGGTGCAGAGGAAAGCTGGACCACAGCACGGCTGTGATGCTGGCATTCACCAGCAAACAGCATGGGTCCCTCTGTATGTAACACGGAAGAAGACTTGTCCCATTGGCTGCCGAGGGATGGCGTGGGGACACAGGCTGAGTGACATGCATGAGCTTGGGGCCAGAGAGCTGGGGCTCAAATCCTTTTTCTTTTCTTTTCTCCTTCTTCTTCTTTTTTTTTTTTTTTTTAATATCGAGTCTTGCTCTGTAGCCCAGGCTGGAGTGCAGTGGCGTGATCTCAGCTCACTGCAACCTCTGCCTCCCAGGTTCATGTGATTCTCCTGCCTCAGCCTCCCGAGTAACTGGGATTACAGGAGCATGTCATCATGCCCTGCTAATTTTTTGTATTTTTATTTGTATTTTTTAGTAGAGACAGGGTTTCACCATTTTGGCCAGGCTGGTCTCGAACTCCTGACCTTGTCTGCTGCCCACCTCAGCCTCCCAAAGTGTTAGGATTATAGGCGTGAGCCACCGCGCCCAGCCTAAAATCCTTTTTCTACTATTCCTCGCTGTTTGACCTTGGAAAAGTGTCTCAATGTCTCTGTGCCTAACAGTGGGGCCTAACTCACAGGGCGGCCATGGGGACAGCTTCTGGTCCACACTGAGTGCTACATGCACGCACACTTAATTAGGTTTGCAGCCAAGTGGGTGGAGGCCAAGCGAGGGGGAGCGGCTGGCCTGGTTTCTCACTGCAGGTTTGTGTCCCACTGAGATGGGAAGTCAGGCCTCGGACTCTTGGTCCAGAACTCTGCTCCAGGTCAGGCAAAGCACCCTCAGCTGGAAATATCATTCCCGACTTAAAGACTGAAGATCAGCGGAGCAGTCTGAGGCTGGGGCCTGACGACTGCTGGCTTTGGGAGCCACTGAGATTTTTTTTCATCATGTGCTTACGGAGTGGGCCTTGCAAATACACCCTAGTGGAGTCTATGAAGTTTACGGGGGATGCAAATGGAAAAAGTATGTCCCTGTGGGAAGTGAATTCTGTTGAGCACTGTCATGGTTCCCAGTGTAAACGCCTCATTCACTACAGGCTCTGCATTCAGTCTTTAAGGCTTCAGGCGTCAGGTTTAAGAAACGAAGCACTTCCCCTCTCTACTCTCCGGGAACAAGGAGCACCTCCTTAAGATTGTCTGGCACGACCTTGGTCTCATCAACAGGAAGAGACAGCAGGACTCTCCCAGGGCCACTTGGTTAATGGAAATAGAGCCACTGACCCAGGTGCCTGCTCAGCCTGCTGACTTCAACCAGACCAAGGAGAAATGTAAACGCAAGAAGCAAGGTGATCTCATTTCATCCTAGCGTTTCCGAAAATAGGAGGTGGAATGTTGTGGTTGTAGCTTTCTATGCTGCTGTTTTTCCTTCTCTGGATGGGAATGACTCCCCTTCACCTCACCTTCCCTAGACATCCCCAAACACTCTCCCTGCCCACCTTTGGGGTGCTGGGCTCATGCTCATTTAGTATAAAAGCAAGCTGTCCTACCTGGGGCTCTTCGGAAGGGCACTGGCAGCTGCCCCGTCTCCCTCCCTCTGGGTTCAGCCAGTCTCCTCCCAAGGGAATCAGTGACCTCAGGGGCAGTTTGGATGCTTTATGCAAGAATCTCCTCTACACTCCCTGCCAAGTGTTCGGCTAGCCTGTTTGCACACCTCCATAGATGGGGAGCTCACCACCCCTGGAGGCAACCCACTCCATCTGTGAGCAGCTAACAGTAAAGATCCAGACTCTGCCTCCCTAAGTCTCCAACCAGAAATTCCACCTTCGCGTGCCCTGAAGAGGGAGGAGACTGTGGTGAACATCCAAGCATCTGGGGAACCTCATGGAGAGACCGCCTCTGACTTCCCTGCCTGCAGCAGCTCAGGCCCCAAAGCGTTTCTTACTTAAAGCCTTGAGGTTTCTTTCATGCCAAAGTTGTGAGTTGAAGACAGCCCAGCCAAGAGTACTTTTATTTAAATCATCTCAATGTCTCTCACTTCTGACTTCCTAATATCCATTTTTTTAAGAAATAGGATTTTTAGACACATCTAGGGATAAATAATCAGTGACAGCATTTATTATGGGCACTCTCTGTGGCTAGCAGCTGAACTGAACACTTTGCATCAATTGTGTCTTTCCATACTATGCTATCCATTTTACAGGTGAGGAAACTGAGGATCAAGCAAGTGACATGAATGTCCAACAGCACAGAGTTTGAGGTGATGACAGAGCTGAGATTTGAACCTGGGCATCCAGGGCCCAAGCCCTAAACCTCCCTACTGGTCCCTCCAGTCATGCAGGAATGCCCACCAGGCCCCAGGACTCACCGCATTGAGGCCACAGAGCTGGTAGCAGGCCATGGTGACGATCACGGTGACCACCTGATAGCGGACATAGGGAGCTCTCAGCAGCTCCAGCATAGACACCAAGCGGATGTTCCTCTGCACGCGGCTGTCAGCCAGGACCTCCTCTACCTCTCGGGAAATGTCTGCTTTACCCAAGAACGTCTGGAAGGCTGCAAACAGGGGCATACATGGGTTTTCAGCAGGGATTAGAGTGTTCATCATGTCTCATGCTGGGCCCTGCAGGGATAGGTCCCACCTCCCAGCCGCATCCCTTAGCAGGGGATGGAACTTGGCAGGGGCCTTTGAACTATGGAGTCCAAAGCCCTTGTTTAAAAATGGGAAAACAGAGGCCCAGAGAGATGCCTTGACTTGCCCAACATCACCCACCTGGTTGGGAGAAAAGCTGGGAGAGAGTGTGAGTCTCCTGACCATCTCCAACGCAAAGCAGAGCACATCCACGATTCAAACCCGTCTATACCACTGGGCAGTTGTGCCCCTGTTCATCTTTTGTTATCATTCCTGCCTCCAATGGCTATTGTAATAGTTGCGTGATATCATATACATGAAACCATGGCTCGGAGCTTCCCACACTGGGACTCATTTGCTGAGTACTCGTTAAGCACCTCCTGTTTGCCTGGCCCATGAGTTCATCCTCGTCGCAGGTGTCCTGAGAGCAGTGGCATGTCACTTGGCCAGGATGCCCTGCAGTCCACTCCAGCATGAAAAGAAGCACGGCCCTTTCCATGTGACCCTCAGAAATACAAGAAAACTTGAGTGGAATTAGTTCCAAAGAATGAACCTTCCCAGGATTCAAACCCATTCTGGTGATTTATACCTTTCTCATGTTGAACACCGCTAACTTCCCCCTTCAGAAAACCTGTCTTTTTTTTTTTTTTTAAATGAAGACCTTAATTGTGCAAACCTCCAAGAATGCATGCCTGAAGGCGAGCTGACTGATTAGACCCTGGAAACCTTAATCATCAGATCATGGGGCACGCTTTTAGAACACAGACTTAAATATTCACTGCTCTGATATTTATTCCTCCTACAGGCAAAGGTGGCTATTGTGATGGTTCCTGTGGACAGTCGTTCCAGACACAGCAGGCAGCATCCTTAAAGCATGGCTTGGCCGGGTGCGGTGGTTTATACTCCCAGCACTTTGGGAGGCTGAGGCAGGTGGATCACCTGAGGTCAGGAGTTCAGGACCAGCCTGGCCAGCATGGTGAAACCCCATCTCTACTGAAAATACAAAAAATTAGCCAGGTATCTGTAATCCCAGCTACTCGGGAGGCTGAGGCAGGAGAACCACTTAAACCTAGGAGGTGGAGGTTGCAGTGAGCCGAGATCATGCCACTGCACTCCAGCCTGGACAACAAGGAGAGATTCTATCTCAAACAAAAAAAAAAAAAGGGATTACACAAACAAAACAGACTGCACCTCAGGGTATGTGAAAAGGCTCTTCTTAAGCAGAAGCCATTAAACTTGTTCCAGATTCTTCAAGAAGCAAGTGCCCTTCTGAAAGCTTTGGAGTGCTATTTCCAGCAGGGTACTAAAAACTGCTTCAGACCGCCTTTTTTATAAACTATAATTTAATGCTTTCCCCAGCATTTATTAAGCGTAAATGAGAAAGCAGCTGAATGAGTAATGTTTCTGTTTCATGCATTAAGTATAATACTTCTACTATTTCCTCAAAGTTCAAAATGCAATATCCATGGAATAAAATAACTAGACTTTTGGAGTAGAAAGCTATTTCTTTCTTTCGTGGGATACATATTTTCTATTATAAAACAAAGAACTTCATAACCTATGTTTTTTTCTCTTTTCATAATGGCTGCCAGGAAGCTCTCAGACAAATTCAATGTTTAGCCCTTAAAACAATTTCCTGGAACAAAAAAAATCTCTCTTCATTCTCTTAAAATTTCCTGTCTCCCGGCTCCATCCATGTCCCTGAAAAAAACATGATCTCATTCTTTTTTATGGATGCATAGTATTCCATGGTGTATATAAATGTGCCACATTTTCTTTATCTGGTCTATCATTGATGGGCATTTGGGTTGATACCATGTCTTTGCTATTGTGAATATTGCTCAGCAAACTAACGCAGGAACAGAAAACCGAGCACCACATGTTCTCACTTATAAGTGGCAGCTGAACAATGAGATCACATGGTCACAGGGAAAGAGCAACACACACACTGGGGCCTGTCATGGGGCAGGGTGGGGGAAGGGAGAGCATTAGCAAAAAATAGCTAATGCATGGGAGGCTTAATACCCAGGTGATTGGTTGATGGGTGCAGCAAACCACATGGCACACGTTTACCTGTGTAACAAACCTGCCCATCCTGCACATGTATTCTGGAACTTAAAATATAAATAAAAATTTAAAAGAATTCTGATCTTTTTTTAAATCTTCAGTTTAACCTTCCTATTGTATATATGTTCACAAAGCGGGTGATACTGTTTCAGAGTGACCCCCAGCCCATGACTGGGGCAAGGAGACAATCCAAGGGCCCTGCCGTTTCCACCCAGTGGGGAAGCTCCTGTAATGCACAAGCTTCTCCAGAGCTCTCCGCTGGACTTGCTGAGACTTTGCCGGGGCACTGTGGCCTCCTAGCTCCTCCTGCCCAGTTCTCCTATCCTTGTCACTTCCCCGGGGCTACCTTCGAGTGAAACTTCTGCACTCCTAACTCGTTCTCAGACCTGCTTCTGGGAGAACCCAAAACTGCACCAAGGACTTACCTGCTGGGGCCTCCCACAGCCTTGGGCTCCTGCCTCTTCAGTGCAGGACACAGGCCCAAGTGGGCCACACTTCTATTTCCCTAACTGCCAAGGAAGCCCGCCCCCCACCCCTCCATGACTCCCCCAAGATTTTCTTTCTTTTTATATATTTTTTAGATGGAGTCTTGCACTGTTACCTGAGCTGGAGTGCAGTTGTATGATCTCAGCTCACTGCAACCTCTACATCCCAGGTTCAAGAGATTCTCCTGCCTCCGCCTCCTGAATAGCTGGGATTACAGGTGCCCGACACCACGCCCAGCTAATTTTTTGTATTGTTAGTAGAGACAGGGTTTCACTACATTGACCAGGCTGGTCTCAAATGCCTGACCTTGTGATCCACCCACCTCGGCCTCCTAAAGTGCTGAGATTACAGGTGTGAGCCACCCACCGCGCCCGGCCATCCTTCACTATTTTCAATCACTCCTAACAATGGTCTGTTGGGATTTGGGTTTGGGGTCCTCCCTATTCCGCATGTACCCTTTCTGGATGAGGGCTCACAGATATTCTTTTGAAACTAGCAAACACAGAAGACTGAGCTGGAGTCCTGAGGGGGCACCAAGAAGGGGGCGTTTCAGGTTGTCAGAGAAGGTGGGGGCACTCTGGAAAGGAAGCAGAAGGACAGAAAGTCGCCTTCTATCCCTGGCACTGGGAAAAGCAAGAGATATTCTGTAAGGTACATGGATGTGCTCTGGTCAAGGAATAGGCCGAGGCGAACATCTGGGCCAGAATGACTCAGCGCATTTCGGTGTGCAGATGCATACTCCACTTGTTATAGAACTGTTTGTGTAAGTAACTTGGCTTGGAGCCGCTATTGTTTGGAAAGGTATAATTGCCCTGCTGACACTGAACAGGGGCTCTTAGGCATGGTGCCACATTGCTCTTGTGCAGGCGCTGGTGCCCACAGAAAGAGAGAGAACCAGAGCTGTCCATCTTGCAGATGGACAGGGGGGAGCCAGGGCAGGGCTCGGCACGGCACGCATGCACGGCTCACAGTCCTGCTGAGGGAGAGAAAGAGTTAAGCTGCTACCCTGAAGGCCAGGGAGAGCTGGCTGTGCAGCTGTGTGTGGGAGCAGCTGGCTCAAGCAGCTGAGACAGAATGGACAGTGTAAGAAAGCTGCTGATGAGAGAGCTGCTGAGTAAAACCACATTGACCTGCTTACGGTCCCCGCCCCTTGCTCGAGTGTTTTTCCAGCTACCCATCCGTCTAACCACCCTCCTTGGGGCTCAGTTGGGGCTAGAACCTGACACATTGGTCTGCACATCTGGCTCTTTCCTCAATCTGGAATGTTCTTTTGACCTTTCTGCACCTGGCTACTCACCTTATTCTTTGAGCTTCAGCTCAGACACCTCCAGGAAGCCTTCTCTGATGCTTTCCTGGCTGGAAGGCAAGGGAAGAGCAGGCCAAGGAGGGCCTTCAGTGTTTGCACAGGGATGAAGTTCCTGCCCACAGGCCATGGTTGGTGGCAAGACCAATCATTCTGAGAGCCCCAAAGGTACCAGGCATGGGCTTAGGAACTGGGCATATGGTGATTTAAAAAAACCCAGATTGTCCCATCCTCTGGTCCAGCCTCACTGTCTTATGACCAACAAGGCACAAAGACAACCTGGTGCTTTAATTTGCTGCTCATGTTCCTCGTGTCCCTGTAGGCGGCACTGTGTGCCATGCAGGTCTCCCCTGCATGTGGACAGCTTCCAACGCCCAGCACCTGGGCCTCTGTCTGCAGCTATCCCTGGGCACAGGTGTGTGCTCAGCCCTCAGCAGTTAACACCCCCAGGAGCAGCCCTCAGTTAATGACAAGGCCGATGTTACCTCGCTTCCTCGCAGACACCTGAGTGAGTTCTATTCTGTCCCCCAGAGGTGCCTGCGTGGGTGGGGCCCTGACTGCCCACAGCCCCTGCTCACTGATGAACCTCAATGGCTCCTCCGCTTCCCTGTCTCCCCTCCCAACTTGGTAAGTGATGCTTCCTCAACTGCATCCTTGGCTTCCCTGTCCCATTTCCCAGCTGGGAAGTGATGCTTCCTCAATTGCATTCCCTGCTTCCCTGTCCCATTTCACAGATGGAGAAGTCCTGCTTCCTCGAGTCTGACTGACTGACAGTAGAGCTTCAGGTACCCAGGCTGACCAGCAGCTCCAGCAAGTTCTAAGGAGCACACACTCCTGGGGAAAAGCAAAACCCATTAAAGGGAGAATCTCTGAGCGAACTGAGTGAAATCATGGCCCCATTCAGAGTCTGGGCTCAGCGTCCTCACGCCTCCTCTGTGCCGGGCACTGTGCTGTACCTAGGAGCTGAAGGAACAAAAGCTGTAGGCTTTTCTTCAGGTGGTGTCCTCATCTGCATAGTCACAACGTATTTCCTTATGTGCCTTTTATGTAATTTGAATCCTCCGAGAG